TATGTTGCATATGGAAATGCATGATGATTTTATTCTTTTAAAGAGCTATTCTTTTAAAAATCAATACATTATTTTCCTAACGCTTCAATTATTATTTCTCGAGTTTGCAATATATATCTTGCGCGATTTGCTTTGTACAAAAATAAAACACCCTACAAAATTGTTCCCATTAAAAAAGGTCAATTTTAAATTTCTAATCTCTATTTTTTTATTTGTGTTATATCTAGATGAAATAGTTCACATCCTCATTCCTAATAGACATAAAGCGCATGAGTGGGTGAAAGTAACTCTTAGAGTCTTATTTCGCGCATTAACGCAATCGCGAAATTATAATAACTCTCTGGTAGTAATTATATACTCTAATTGATTCGCGAACAGACACGCAGCAATCAGACCGGTTATTGCCTCATAAATCCCGGATGTTACAAATCATCGTAAAATCATCAAGAGCAATTGCAAGCTGCCGTCCTCTCTCAGAGAGAATTGGATTTCGAAAAAATATATAAATAATTGCAATACGATATTGAATTATGAAAGAAACAATAATTAATATTTATGCAATGCTAATTATTAGATTTTCCTTGACAAACCGTGACATCAAAAGGACAAAAATGAAAATAATATCACGCTGGGAAATAACGCAATTATCACAATTAAATATAATTGTTGAGATAAAACAGTATTATGTGACATATAATTTGATAACTTCATGTCTCTCTGTGTCACAAACTTTTACATTATAAATGTCTATAAATAAATATTTAAATTTCTCAAAAAATTGCTCCCTACATCAGATATTTCGCTAAAATCTGTTGCAGTGCATTCTATCGATTCGAAATCTTATCAGAACGATCCATCCTACAGAATTGTTGAGAGAAGGCGGTATCCTTGTGTGATGAAGACCATAAAAGACTTCCGGTTTGATTTGCATAATAACGTGGTGTTCGAGTCATCGCTAACGGAGATCCTCCCCTTTCACGCGAGACACAATCGATCACTTCGACATATCGTCGCAATGTCGTCAACAGTCAGTGGTATCTCTGCGAGAACCTGTTTCCTACGTATGCATTTGCTTTTGATCGGTCGTCCTCACCACCGCCATGAGGCAACGTTCTATTAATCATGCTCCCATAGACTTTCTTTTGATCGGTTTAAGTTGACACGAAACGGAAGTTTAACAAAAAGTTTTTTTTGATGTAATGTCTTATTTTATTATTGCTAATAATATCTAGTAATCCAAAAACAAATTACGGATCTTCGATTTTATTTCTTGAGGGAATCTAAGAATTTTCAAATAATAAAGTTGAAATAGACAATGCTGACGTGCGATGTGCGATATTTAAAGTATCAATAATTGACTAAGGATAAAATTATCGAACAATCGATCATTCGACATTTCGAGGAATCTGTATAATAGAAAATACTAATAATATTATTGTTTCTTCTAAAGTACTAATAATGTTATTGCCTCTTGTAAAATTTCGTCATCCTTGAGAATTATTCTGCGTCGAAATGGACTGGTTGTCCAAAGAATGACTCGGACGTAGAATGAAGCGGCCGACTTTCTAATTGACGCGTACCACTAATTGATTTTAAGTGTCGGGCGGTACTCGAGGCGAGTTAATAAAGCTTACACGTTGGCCAAGCTGTGCTTACGTCACGTTAACTACATGGACATACGACGCAATGGCGCAGGATTTTATGCCATATCGCTTGAACCTCTGAACACAATTACATTAAGGCCAACCAGCTACGTTGTAACTTGTAATGACGAGTGGGGAGAGAAGGCCAGAAAAAGAGAGAATGAGAGAGAAAGAGAAGAGAGATCATTGATAGTAACTGTCTCACGACGAAGCAACAACAAGAGTTACCATTATGCCGGCATTAATAGCATACGCTCTACCGTATTACCCGCTTTTTGTTTACCCACTTGCGCGATGACGTAGGATTCCGTATTGGTTTCGACGATCGCCTACTTATTGTTAGCGTATAAACAGCGCCGTGTATAATGCTTATGGCCGATACGACCTCGAACACAGGCATAATCAGCAGCTATAAAGAAGCGCTCTTGCACGTACATGAGAAATTTGGGTGGAATGTCGTGACTAACGATAAAAATAAAAATATGTGATGTGTTTCTCTCTCCGCGGGGCGCGGCGTAGAGAATCATGCTGAATCTTCTCAATAAAAAATCACGATAACAAACTATTGCGCCGCAACGAAATGGACGTAATTCCCGGGGGCTATTTTTCCGGGAATATTTACCGCTACGCCGGACACTTTATTATATTATTTTCATTTTATTCCCCGTATTAATTATCGTGTTGCGTTAAAATTAGTCTGCCATTCGCTCGGCAAATAACGCGGACCGATAAGCTTCCACGCTCGCGACCGTGTCCTTCCGAAAATATTTTCCGGATTTGATTTAGCGCAATGCACGTGCGATGTGTAATGATAACGAAACCGTCCGTAAGCTCTGATAGAGGCGCACCTGAACGACGGATGATTTATGCGTCGATGCATCGTCGCGTCGATTTACGGCAAACTCGTTCATTTGACTATCGGCCAGAAGTCCATGACGA